AACATACTTTTAATCGGCTCTCATTTAAAAGCTATTTGCCCTAGAAAATAAATTCCAACGGGGTTCGCGTCAGACGAAATCGCTCTACACGCGGTTCTCGGGAAATGCCACCGTTACGTATCATGCTGTATACATGTTCTTCTTCTCTTTCTTTAGTATAAAAATTATTTCTGAACAAAGTAAAAATTACTATGTTAAATAGCAAATTGTACTAAAATCTGGTTTTACTATGTAGCGTAGTAGTTTTTATACTATGGAAAGTGTGTCACAGCTTTCCTAAAAAAATCGTAATTTTCATTATAGTTATAGTTTTTCTAATACCATTTTTCTCAGTGTACGTAAACTTTATCATATACAATTGGAATAAACAATCAGCTCTCTATAGATGCCTAAGAGCAGCATCTTAATAATTCTCAAGGCCCCTTTGCAGATCATCTCTTTCTGAGTATTTTCTAGAAATCCTGTAGTTTAACGAATCTGATCAGTAACTTAATTAGAAAAGATCATAGTTCTAACTTAATCTGTGAGTGAGGGAATTGGTGCGTATACTGAAGAAATGAACGACCAGAATAGCTCAAATACGCTGCTATTTCAGCTTTGCAATAGAAATAGCTATCTATAGCCTAAGTCTGCTTGAGAGCCAAGTAGATTCTGATTGGAAGTATTAAGGAAACTTGGCCGGTCGTTCACCAAGCTAAGTGTGCTCTGTAAACTTAGGTTAATAGTGCATAAATACGTAATGAGCTTGGTTTAAAAAAAAAAGTTTTTCACTCTCGTAGCTCTATTAATTAATGCATCTAACTGTAAATAAATAAATAAAATAATTTAAGATAGAGATTTATAATTTAATACATTTTGTTACTCAAGAATAAATGATTTATACTAGTCCTAAAACACTTAGTACAAAATGTATTTAGATAAAATAAACTGGTAAGTATTATCATCAAATATAACACAAAGATACATTTGGGAAGAATCACGTCGATTGCGCCAGTGCTGCTGTGGATGGCCCGCGCGAGTGTAAAACACGACGATATGAACTCGTCGTTTCAGTCTCAAAACGTTAATAAAAAAAAAATGATCAAAACACATACTCTTGCGTATTTTTTCTTAAGCTTTCTGGTGGTGGCATCTGTTCTTCCGAAATTCTGCCTCCATAGCCTCAAAAAATGCAAAAGTTCGAAAAACACGTTATATCTTCAACTTTTAGAATTTTTTAGACTATCTAGATAGAAAGATTAATTTTTTTTAACGTCGATATCGATAATAGAAAAAGAAAGATTTTTAATTCTTACGTAGTATTTAACTGACAAACAAAACGGCGCGAGCTGCTGCGGCCGCGCTGGCAGCGGGTCTGCCATACGCCGTCTGCTACCATCTCTCCGACTGGATGTAAATAAATACACCTCACCGTGGTGGTTTGCACATTGCAAGAAACTTTTTTATTGTTGCTTTGTATGACAATGCTTATTACATTTAAAACACAAGTTGTATCGTAAGTTCGATGTTGTTATAGGTTTTGGTACAATTTTTATTCTCAATTTAATTTTGTTTTAAAATTTTTTTATGTAGGTTACGTGATTGCAACAGCACTTTTTAGTAACAAATGTAAATATAAACAAACTGCCTAAAAACTGGAAGAACACATTCCTAGTGCAAGAACAATTTAGGAAACACTGAATTATCATGGGTTTATCCTCATTGGGGATAACAAATTAATGCTAAAGAAAACGTCTTTAAGTAATTAATACAAAATCTTCCTGAAATTGAAAAGACGTAAAACGAGTGTAGCTAAAAGGAAGCCAAAAACTAAGTAAATATTAGTCTTTTTATTATTGAACATATTTAAAATATTAATATCAAATATTTTATGGACATTAATTATATGTCATAACTATCTAACGTGGACACTTTTTTAACCGTAAATATGTTAATAAAATGTTTGTTTGATGTACATCTTTATTCAGTTGAAACTAAACCATCAATATAAACTGACACATTGAGAATAAAAAATAGTTTACAACATACAAAAAATAAATTTAATCGAACTAGGTCCCCACCAAGTGCCCGGGAAGTACCCGCCAAGTNAACTATTTTTTTGTAAAAAATTTCTTCAAAGATGTTTTTTTGACCTGAAAATGATAATCTCAGATTCTTTGGCACATTTAGAACAAAAAACTAATAGCCCCACAGTTTTCGAGTAAAAAATTCCCAAAGTGTCAAAAAATGCATTTTTTCCAGTTTTTATGGACATTAATTATATGTCATAACTATCTAACGTGGACACTTTTTTAACCGTAAATATATTGGTTTTATACCTGCCTGTCAAAAGTTATTTTGCGATCGATCTTTCTACCAAATCCCATAATCTGACAAGGCTGACATTGTGCACTTACCCCTGATTCTGATGAAAATACAATTTTGAGTATTTAATGTTATGGTACATCCAAAATGGCCAATCATTTTTTTCTTCAGAATACTTTTACCATGTATATCAAATGAAAGGGTATTACGAGTAGGATTATTTTCATCATAATTAATTTAATTGAGGATTATTGTTGTGGTAACGTAAATGTTGGGACGGGAGCGTAGTTGGGCGAAAGAATATACAAGCGTATAGAGTATACACTGACGGTCAAGTGGCGAGAGCGGGAGCTCGGCGCGGCACACGATATGACAGTCTGGGCCCGACTGACCGTGCCACTTCCAGCATCGTAGACGAGTGCCTCAACTTGTGTGTGCCAGGCACAGGGGTCGTGCTCACGTAATACCTTTCCCTTTTTATTGAAAAATGAAATAATGAAAATTTACATGAAATTACAAACTCTCCTCATCGTAGCGTTTCGGTGGGTTTCTTGGACGCGTCGATTTACGCTGAGTTACATTAGTTGCGCTATCGCCCTGAGCGGTGCTCTCGGAATGCTGCGCGTTTACCCCCGTCTTAGGGCTACCGCTCGAGTCGTTTTCCACAACGTCGCTTACAGTACTGGACCCGTTTTTGCTAGACAGGCCACCGACGTCCGGCGGATTCTCGGTTACAATTTGAGAGTCTTCTTGTATGGTCGGTGGGTCCTTACAATTAGTGTTCAACTCGAGCTTGTACGGCGCGGGCACCAAGTGCCATCGGTTTCGGTGTATTTGGTTACCTCTTTCGGTTTTTACAATGAATGAGTTTGGCGTCTTGTCGATCTCGGTGATCTCACCGTACACTCGCATATCAATTATCCACTCTCTATCTCGCACGCATAATTTTGACAATTTCGTTACGTGGTGGCGCTTATTAAAATAACGCTCTTGCTCGCTTTTTCTTTCTTTCTCGTGAGGGGCTACTACGTCGTGCTCGGAGAATGTTCCGAGATTTTTTGGTAGCACTGGGACACGCGATCTTATTTACGAGAAAACATCAGTTGCGCTGGGGAGTATCCGTTGTCCAAAGGCGACGTTCTGTACGATTGCAGGCCGATATAAATATCGTCGCATTTTTTTATCAGACTTTTGGCTATTTTTACAGCCGCTTCGGCGGCGCCTTTACTTTGGGGGAACTTTAGTGAACTCGTCAGGTGCCTGGAATCGTACTCATTCGTGAATCGACGGAAGTTTGACAAAAACTGAGTGCCGCTGTCCGTTCGTACAATCTCGGGATTTCCGTAATGCGCGAATAGTTGTTTGCAATTCATCATTCTCTCGGATTTTCTCAATGTTTTTAATTGACAAATTTCGAAAAATTTCAAATAATAATCTGTAGCAATTAAATACCAATTGTCCGATTTAAAAAGATCCAAGTCTATTTTTTGCCAAGGTCGAGCTGGGAAATTTTCGATTACGAACGGTTGGCGTATATTTGTTTTCTCTTCCGTACATTTCGGGCAACATTCAATTAAATTTTTCAATTGCGTACTCAATCCTAACCACCACACTGATTGTTTTGCTCTATCTCTATACTTGTTAATACCAAGGTGGCTGTCATGTAAATTTGTTAGAATTTCCAACTGTCAAGCAAGTGGGATAACAAGTCTTGGGTCATACAATAAATAACCGTCGCAGTAAGAAATATCGTCTTGAAATTGAACGTAAGGTAGTAACTCTTTCATTAGTCGCGATTTCAACGGCCACCCATTTAAGCAAAATTCTTTTAAGTTCGTGTAGACGAAATCTCACTCTTGTTCTTCGCGTATGCAGTCCAATAGGCTTTTAGTCGAGGGTAAGCTACTGATAATAAAATTAACGTGCGTTTTGATTTCTTTTGGAAGGTCGTCGTCTTCATGTTTCTCTCGCGTCGCTGGATTACGTAACAGGGAGTCTGCCAAAACTAATTGCTTTCCCGAAACATAAGCCACTTGAAAATTATAGCGCATATGGCGCATACGTATTTTCTGCAGTCTAGGAGTGAGATCGTCTAGAGGCTTTGTTTGGAGGATTTGAAGCAGTGGCTTATGATCCGTCTCGAGCTTTACATCGATACCTATAATATACTCCTTGAAGCGCTCGCAAGCAAAAGCGAGTGCAAGAGCTTCCTTTTCGATCTGGCTGTATTGTTTTTCACATGTAGACAGAGTTCGTGAAGCGTACGATACAAGATCGCGATTTGTTGGGTCGTTCCCCTGTATAAGCGCTGCGCCTAGCCCATAGCTCGAGGGATCTGCTTGGATGATGACGTTTTTTGAAAAATCGGAGTGCGCTAACGTGGGCGCCTGAGAAATCAACTTTTTTAAAGTGTTTAAGGCGTGCTTTTGTGGGTCAAGCCAGATAAAATATGCGTTGTTTTGTAGTAGAGAGTTCAACTGTTCTAACAGTTGAGACTTATTAGGAATAAATTTACTTACGTAGTTGACGATGCCTAAAAACTGCATAAGGGACTCGTTGTAAAGTGGCTCCGGAAAATTTACTATTGCAGGTGTACGGGCGGGTGACACGTCAATACCGCGCTCGGAGATTGTATGGCTCAAGAATTCGACTTCGCTGGTCGAGGATATTCATTTTTTCCTATTTAGAGTAACGCCCTATTTTTCGAGACGCTGAAGTACAATCTCGAGAGTTTTTGCGTGTTCCTCGAGGTTCTCGGAATGAATTAAAACGTCGTCGACATGCGAGACCACATTCGGAATGTCGGCGAAGATATCGGTGAATTTCTTTGAAAAATAATCGGAAGCGCAATTCACCCCGAACGGAACTCGCATGTGCATATATCGTCCGTACGGGGTGATGAATGTCGTAAGAGGCTGGCTCTCTTTGTCTAACTCCAATTGATGATATCCCGAGGTAGCGTCTAATTTTGAAAAAATTTTTGACCCTTTCAGTCTTGCTAACGTGACGTCTACCTTAGGTATCGGATGGATCGCGCGCTTGACATTGTTGTTTAATCGCGTAAAATCGATACATAGTCGTATATCGTCTGAATCCTTCTTTTTTACAACGACGATCGGGCTACACCAATCAGTAGGGAAATCCACGGGTACAATGACTTTTTGTTTTACTAAACGGTCGAGTTCGCTTTTTAGTTTATTCAAGAATGGGATTGCTACAGTTCGCGGAACTGACAAGGAAAACGGTACGGCATCTTCTTTAAGAATTATTTTTGACTTGGTTTTAAATAATCCCAGACCGCGGAAGATTTTGTCGTATTTTCTTAGTAAATCATCTATTTTAACCGAGTCATCTTCAACTTTATCAACTTGTTTTATCAAACCGAACTTATTAATTTCTGGTTTCCCGAAAAGGTTTCGATTACCATCGCGTAATGCATACACTTTAACCTCAAAGGGTATCCGCATCTGAAGCATGACGAATTCCTAGTGTAGGGCAAGCGTGCTCGAGAGGAAGGGAGAGATAACCTGGGCAAAAGTCAGATAAGCGCGGCACAAGTCAAGCGTGGTAAAAATAGTGCATCCGTGTAGTGCCACAGAAAAATCGTGCAAGTGAGGTAACGGGTATTTGTCGGGCACTGTTGCACTGTTTAGCTTTCTATAGTCCCCGCACAACCGCCAGGTTCCATCCTTTTTTTTCCTAAGTAGCAATGGGCTGGCCCAAAGACTGCTCGAATGTCGGCAATACCCATCATTTACTAATTTTTCGATCTCTTTTTTCGCGGCGTTGTATTTTTCACCATCAAGCCGACGTGTACGTTCAGAAACAGGCGGTCCGTTTGTAATGATATGATGAAAAACTTCAGGCTTTGTTATTGGTTTCGGGGAAGTTTCGCCGATAACTTCCGGGAACCGCTTCAGTAAATCTGAAACGTCCCTAGAAGCTAATGAGTTAATACTCGAGCAATTGATCCCCTTTATAAAACCGTACGTGCATTTTTGTTCGGCCGGGCAGACCACTCGGCTGTTTCTGATATCCACCAGCAAATCAAAATGGTCTAAAAAATCCGCGCCCAAAATAGGATAAGGGACGTCGGCAATGCGGAATTTCCATCTGAGTGCTCTGCCCAACCCCAAATCAATTGTTAACTCAACTTCACCATAAGCCTTGATTGGTGTGTTGTTCGCCGCGACCAAACCGATCTCCGAAGGCACAGACACTTTAGTTTTATTGTTCTTAGGCAGCAGAGAAATTTCTGCCCCCGTGTCAATTAAAAATATTAAGTCGGAGACGCGATCCTTAACATGGAGCCTTTTTGAACTGCGTACTTCACCTATTGCTCCCTTGTAGGCGAAGCTTTCGAGTTTCCCGACGCGAAACTCCAAGCACACGGTCGCTCGCAACGATAAGCACGAGATTTGTATTTACGATGGTAAAAACAGACACCAGGCGAGCTGCCGCGCTCACGCGACGAGCTACTGTTAGTCGAAGGACTTCTGTGTTTACCTGGGAATTTCTTTGTATCTCTGCGTGACTCACGGCCCGAGCTATTCGTGCGTCTATTCGGAGAGCCCCTGTTATTGTTTTTATTGTATTTACGCTCGCGAGCGAACTCAGCTTGAAGGTCACTAAGTTTTTGCGATATTAAATTTATTTCGCGCGTCAAATTTTCTAGCTGGTTCGCCCCTTCGGAGACCGACGCAACTGAATACGACGCAGGACTCGCTGCTTCCGCGTATTTGTCTGCCATGGCCGCCAGTGTATCAAGATTCTGCTCTGTCGTTATGGAAAGTATGGCGCGACAATTAGGTGGTATTTGCTCGAGGAATATCGACCTGAGAATTTCGTTGCCACAGTCGACATTAAGCGCTCGAAGTGCGGCCAGAATCGCGGAAGGTTTCCCTTCGGATGTTACCCGACCCTGTATTAGCCTTCGCAGACGCTCTGCGGAGGAGACACCATACAAATTAATTAACCGTTCCTTAACGCGATCGTAAATATTTGCAGGCACCGGGCTGATGCGAAATATGTCTTGAACGGCTTGTAGGGCTTGCATGTCGAGCTTCTCGACGATAAAGTCTGCCTTAGTGGCTTGATTCGTGATCCCCGCATTTTTGAGGGTTACCTCTGCCTGGAAAAACCAAGCATCGGGATTTTCACGCGAAAAACCGGGTATTTTTGGTTGTCTATAAATAGCTGTGATGTTTTGGGGGTTTTGGTCGGGATTGGAATTCTCATTTGCATTATCTCGCATCTGTGCCGTAATTCTCTGGATTTGCGCTTCTAGCTGGGCAATACGATCATCGTCCGCCATCGCGATTCTCCCCGAAGAAAAATACACAACGCTATTGTTTGCCCGTAAAAGAGCTCCGCAACAAGGTCGATTCTCTACTAGTATTTAATACAGAGTCAATCTTCCGATTAACGCGACAATAATCCGCAGGTTTAAGCGAACGAAATAACACAGCACAAGACGCGTGAACAAAACAAACGCTTCGCTCCCACGGCCGAGTGAGTAACGCAGCCAAGGTCGACTTTCAAAACATTCCGATATAATCATACACCACACTTGTTTTCGGTTTTCTTACTTTTGTTGCTTGCTAAAATTGAATTATTTGATGTTTTAGTAATCGATTTGCGATCCAGCGATATACATAGTTTTTAGAAAGCGAGGTTTAACGATTTGTTGTATTATTCGATAGCTTTCTAATTTGGTTGCAAAGATTGTTTTGGGACAGTAATACACGACTTACTTGTACAATTAACGTCTAAAGGCAACAAAACGAAGTTTGATTTTGAACGCTTGCGACGCTTTCAGTTCTACGAACTGAACTCTTGTACTCACGCAGCCCTGACGACGCGCCTCACGATGCCACGGTGACCCTCGCGCCGACTGTGCACTTGCCGACAGCGATGATCGTCGATTTGGCGATTAGCCGGTGGCGGTCGTCCCGCTGAGCAGAGTCGGAAGCGTTTCAGTTGCCGGTAGCCAGAAATCCCGTTTGTCCTTGACCTCTCGCCGACGAAGAGATGCGAACTCCCAGGTCCACCTTTTTTCTGATGTTGCCCTGGTGTTCGTAACGTTGTTGACCGTCGGTGGTAAGCGTCGGGGTCACCAAATGTAGGGCAAGCGTGCTCGAGAGGAAGGGAGAGATAACCTGGGCAAAAGAAATAGACGTTATTGCGTGTACTGTACTCTCGTTTATTGAACTGTGGTCCGACTGTTCAAGTCGGTAGGCGCAGTTAGACTGACTACAAGTGTGTAACCCACTCTCTCTCTCTCCTCTGCTAGACTCGTGATTCTAGCCTACACTGAGCTATGTGGTAGGGGGGAGTCCCTATACTAGTAGGAGCGTTGGAGCTGGTGTCGTTTGCGTTGAAATTCTTTGGATCAGCTTTCCCTAGGTCTGATCGTGCTGACTTGTTTCTGCGTACGACTTGGTCGACTGCTGTTTGCCCGGCTGCGTTTTGCGTCTTACGCATGATCTTGTTTTCTTTGGTCTGCATTTCAGCTTGCCTGGCCGTAGCAACTGCTTTTTCCAACGTCAAATCGACCATAAATTGTAGTATCTCCGACGTTCTCGTGTCGTGCAAGACGATTACGATTCTGTCGCGAATCATTTCGTCTTTTAAATTTCCGTATTCGCAAGTGTCGGCGAGATTATGCAGCATGGTAATAAAGGTATCGACACTTTCATCTGGCAGCTGCACACGGGAATTGAATTTATAACGTTTGAATATTTGATTTTTCTTTGGCACGAAATACTTCGTAAACTCGTCTTTGACGTTTTTAAATGTTATCGTATCCGTTAGAGTATGTAGAATCTGTTTTAATACTTTCTCTGACTTCTCACCCATAATATAACATAGTAGATCGGTTTGCTCTTTCTCCGGTTTTGCGGTGAGGTTAGACACGGAGATGTATCTCTCGAAACGCCTGATCCAAGTAGACCATGCCTCCGGTTTGTCGAAGTTAAATTCATTTGGAGGCTGTATCAAGGAGGCGGCTGGTGCCTGATCATTCCCCTGTGACATTTGTGAATTTTGACTGTGCCTGTCATCGTACCCGTAGCACTTGTACAACAAGACAGGGAACGGTGACAATCTTCACTTGTAAATAGCCATAAGATAACGTGGCGTGTAGCTAGTGTATATGTCCGTTTTCGATTTATCTACGATCCCTAAAAACTTACGATTTAGAACACTTACGATTAGGGCAGATATTTTCTATTTTGGCTTCTGACACCATGTTGCGGTAACGTAAATTTTGGGAGGGTAGCGTAGTTAGGCAAAAAAATATACAAGCGTATAGAGTATACACTGATGGTCAAGTGGCGAGAGCGGGAGCTCGGCGTGGCACACGATACGACCGTCTGGGCTCGACTGACCATGCCACTTCCAGCATCTTAGACGAGTGCCTCAACTTGTGTGTGCCAGACACAGAGGTCGCGCCCACGCAACAATTATTTTTATCATCAACTTACTTAATACTTGCCAACATTTTTAATTTGAAAGTGCAACTAAGAAAATCTGTTGATATAGTTGCAAAAAAAAAAATTAATTTACCGAACTTGAAGTTTTTCTTTATGATTCGCAGTTTATAATCAACTTACTTAATACTTGCCAACATTTTTAATTTAAGAGTTTAACTAGGAAAACCTGTTGATATAGTTGCAAAAAAAGAATTAATTTGCTGAACTC